ACCCCCAAACAAAAAAAAAAAAAAAAAAAAAAAAAAAAAAAAGAGGAAACAGTTGAGGGTTGGGGGTTGGCACAGTGGCAGAGGTCATCCTGGTCATTCTGGCTTAGTGTCTCAGGCCTGGCTCTACAAGGCAATGGAAGACCAGCCTTGCCTAAGGGGGCAGTTCTGTCTTGAGAAGAGATGACTGCTCTTGGTTAGGGGACATTGCTCCCTGAGGAATAACCTCCTGGAATGGCCTCAAATGCCTCCGACTCCAGAGTGCTGCTGGGATTAAGGTGCCACCACGCTCAATTCCTGCTCATCTTCATTTCTGTGTGGCGTTGGGTATTGACCACATGACTTCCTCACCAAGCTGCATCCCCAGCCCTCCCTCCCTCCCTTCCTTCTTTTTTTCCTCCCTTTCCTCCCTCCCCCTCTTTCTTTCTTTCGACACAGTCTCACAAAGTCACCAATTTGCCCCACCTGGGCTCAAATTTTTTATCTTCCTGCCTCCATTTCCCAGAATGATGGATTTATAAGCTGGGGTGTGTCACCACATCTGGCTCCCCTTTTTATTTTTGTTTTGAGACAGGGTTTGGCTAAATTGCCCAGGTGGGACTTGAATTTTTCAATCTGCCTGGCTCAGCCTTCCAAGTGCTGGGATCACAGGTGTGCACCTCCACCCCTGGCTGAGAGTTTCAGGACATTAGATCTTCCTGCTCAGGAACACGGGTGTGTTCCACTTATTACTGCTTCTCTGCCTGCCTGCCTGCCTTCCTCTCTCTCCCTCTCTCTTTCTTTCATAGGAAAATTTATTCCATAAAAGGATGGAGAATAAGAATAGATCCTGGAAGACAGAAGGGGTTCTGAATGGGTTTCTTTCAGGAAATGTTTTGTAATTATCATCACCTCTGGGGCTCATTTCTAAGTGTTTTATTCTTTCTGATGACATTGTTGATAGAACTGTTTTTGTAATTTCCCTTTCAGATTGTTTACTATTAGTGTGGAGAACTGCAACTGGTTTTTGTTTATTGACTTTTTATCCTATAACTTTGATAAATTCCTTTATTCTTTTTGAGACAGGGTTTCATTATGTATCCCAAACTGGGCCTCAAACTTGGGATCTTCCTGCCTCAGCCTCCCAAGTGGTGGGCTTATAGGTGGATGCTACCATACCCAGCTCATTTATTAGTTGCCATAGGCTTTTTTTTATAGAATCTAATGCCTACCCCTCTCCCTGTACCGAGGATTGAATTCAGAGCCCAAAGCATGCAAGACAGGCAATCTGGCCTTGGATTTGAGATCCTTTTGCCTCAGCCTCCCAAGTAGCTAAGATTACCATCATGCCTGGCTATCTTTAATGTTTTCTCCATATAAGATCATATTTTCATATTAAGAAAAGTAATTTTCATTTTTGAGACAGGGTCTCACTATTTAGGTTAGGCTGGTCTTGAACTGACTATATAGCCTGAGCTGGCCTCAAACTCAAAGGCAGTCCTCCTGCCTCAGCCTCCTGAGTGCTGGGATACAGGTGTGTACCACTACACACAGCTTTAATCTTATTTTTTTTAATGTTCAGTTTTTGCCGGGCGTGGTGGCCACCCTGGCTTACAAATGAATTCAAGGCCAGCCTGAACTATACAGTGAGACACTGTCTTGAAAAAAAAATTTAAGCTTCTATCTTTAATAGAAAAAAAATACCCTGTGTAAAGGAGGGGATTTTTTTCTGATGTTTCACTGTATAGTGTAATGGCTGTTTAGGTTTTTAATTTTCTTTTTTGTACTGAGGATCGAACTCGGGATCTTACGTTTGTGAGGCAGGCAGCGGCACCACTGAGTTAGCTGGCCCTAAATTTTTTTATTTTCTTTTTTCCGATACTAGGGAACAAGCCCTGGAACCCTCTACCACTGGAGCTGTATCCACATTCCATTTTACTTTTTATTTTGGTAAATTGCCCAGACTAGGCTCAGACTTGCATTCTCTCTGCCTTCTCTCTCTCAAGTAGCAGGGATTATAGGTGCGTGCCATTGGGCCTGGCCATTTACATTTCTATTGGATAATTAGTACCAAATTAAAATAATTCTGTCTTTTACTAATTTCCTATATTATTGTTCCCTGTCCCTCCACCCGAGGGGCTGAGAATGTAGTTCAGTGTCAGAGTATTTATGAGGTATAGTAGAAATACATGGTGAATGAAGGCTGGGGATTTAGCTCAGTGGTGTTGTGCCCGCCTGGCAAGTGCAAAGTCCTGAGTTGGATCCCTGGTACCAGAAAAAAAGAAACAAAAACATGGTGACTGTTTAAAAAAAATTATTGCAGCAAGACACATTGCCATAATCCCCTCAGAATTACCCACTTGCTTTGAACATGTTTTCCCTATCATTCTTGTCTCTTTTAAGTACTTTTGGAAGTCCTCTTTCCTCAAGTGTCTTTATCGGGTGTGATAAAAAATGTGGTGAATACTCCTGCTGAGTTCCATCCAATGGGAAAGCAAGCTTGACCAAGGAAGAATTCTTTCTTTCTTTTTACATTGCTGGAGACTGAACCTAGGGCTTTTGCATTGATCTTCATACCCAGCTAAATTGCGCAAGATGGGCTGAGACTTGTGATCTTCCTGACTCAGCCTCCCAGAGTGCAGAGATCAGGAGTGTGCCAAATGGAATTGCTGCTTTAAAGTATTCTTTGTTGCAGTGGAACACATCTTGGAGTTTCTAATTACATTAATGCTTCTGGATAAAGTGGATTGAAAAATTGGACTGAAACAGGCTAAGTGTGGAATGATGATGAGCAGTCCTGCCCTGGGGACTTGGCCTGCACCAGGTGCAGCATGGGTGCTCTCTTCTCATCTCCCTTGACCTCATCATTCCAGATGAGGAGATTGAGGCTCAAAATGGTGAGTGATGTGCCTGGCAGCCCATGGGAGTGAGTGAGAGGTTCTTTTTGACTCCCAAATCCACGCCAGACATGTCTGCTCCTTAATGCAGAGGTGGGTGATATCTCAGAAGACAGACATTTTCTACTTATTTCAGGGTCCCTGTTGTGGCTTGTATCTAGATGTCCCCCTAAAACCTCATGTGCTCATAGGTGGAACTTTTTGGAGGTGACTGGATCTAGGGTGTGTGAATGTGGATTAAGGGCGTGATAAATGGATTAGTCTACTGATTAGTTTAGCAATGTTCTCTGCATGGGTAATGGAAAGCCCCTCCCCTAGTATGGGTGGCACTACCCAAAAGGTTTATAGTCTGGATGGGACATAAAGGGACAGAAAAAAAGGCTGGCTCCTGCCTGCTGCTTTCTGTCTTCTCTCCATGGACTATTTCTCCTGTGCCCCTCTGCTGTGTCCCCCCTGCCTTGGAGCCAGCCATTTATGTGCAGAAACTTATGCAAACTGTGAGCTAAAATAATTCTTTCCTCCTTTAACTTTAGGTATTGGGCATTTTGTCTCAGTAAAGCAAAACGTAACTAAGACAGCTCCTTTCCACTTCCCCTTCTCAGACAGGGTCTTACTGTGTAGTCCAGAATATCCTGAACTCACTTGAAGTGATCCTCCTGCCTCAGCCTATCCCGAGTATTGGGATTACAAGGTGCACACCTGGCTAAAAGCAAGTTTTTAGTTTTTCCTTTTCCTTTTCTTAATTGGCACATTTTAGATATGCATAATATTCACACAGAGAATTTATACATATCTTGTTTCTTCATTTTTCCCCTTCCCCTCTTTCCTTCCAATACCTCATCCCCACCTTATTAACAAAGGCTGTTTACATTTTTTCCCTTCTGTTCTTTTTTTTCTTGTCCCTTCCTTTCTTTCCCTCTCCCCACTTCCTTGTTCCCCTTATTGTTTGAACATTTTTTCTTTCTGCTTTCCAATATCTATTATACATTTTGGTCCTTGTTTTACACTTAAAAGTTTCTCACACCAGAGAAACAATGTGGTATTTAAATGTGTGTCTGATTTATTTCAATTAAGAGTATGGTCTCACGGTGCATTCATTTAGCTAGAAATGTCTCAAGCTTATCCTTCTTTGTGGCTGAGTAGTACTTCACTGTATAAAAAAACCCTATGTCTTTATGCATTCATCAGTTGATGGGCATTTGGGCTGTCCAAGATTTAGCTATTACAAATTACCACTATAAACATGGGTGTACATACATCACTGTGTTATGATGAAAAGCAGGTTTTTGTAGGTCTGACTCTGCTGTCTTCCAGGTGCTCTGGAGCACTGAGGCCCAGCTAGCGCATTTTCCTTCTGGCTGGCTAGGCCTCACTGAGCTCATCTCCATGGTGTAGCTGTTCTGAGTCCCATGTGACCCAAGGACACCATGGTGGTTTCTCTGATGCCTTCATGTCAGCACCAGTGGGTGGTGCCCAGATTGAAGCCTGCTTAGCTGACGGCTCTCTCAGCCCTTTGTAGCACCTTCTTCAGCTTCATGTCCAAGGTCAGGAAACTTGTTTTCATTTATTTAAATGTGATTGTGGGAGAAGTATGTAATTAAAGTGAGCCATTTGACTATGCTGGAACGGATTCTGACCCTTATCAGGAAAGCTGGTGGAAGAGGGTTGTGAGTAGTAGTGTCATTTTTTTCTGAATATCAGTGTAGACCTTTTCCAAAGAAAGACCAAAGCTGTTTGAACTGTGACCAATCTTTGGTGCCAGGTGTTAATAACAGCTGTGGTTCCTCAGAAGCCTGGGTAGATTTAAACCACTGACCTTGAGCTGAAATACTTTCTAAGCTTTGACTCATTGTTTGGCTCATTCTTTCACCAGAAAATATACAGAATACTAGTTTGAAGAATTTCAGTTATCCCTTCTGCAGAGTGTGTTGCTCATTTAAGTTGCTAGGACTTGTAATGGTTATGCTAAATCTGTGAGTAAATAGAAATCTGATCAGTAGAGAAAAGCTGTCGATGATTAAAAAAAAATTTTTTTTTTACATTACTGGTGGTTGAACCCAGGGCCTTGTGTATGCTAGGCAAGTTCTCTTACCACTGAGTTACATTCCTCAACCCTTCTAATTTTCAATTTTGAAACAGTCTCACTAGTTGCCCAGGCTGGCCTCAAACTTTCTGCCTTCTTGCCTCAGCCTTTAAAGTAGCTGGATTCCAGGTCTGCACCACTGTGTCAGGCTTGGGTTGTTAATGAGGCAACTGTCCTTCCTAACTCCATGGGTTTATATCTCCCCCAGAATGATGTGGTACAGGAGGTGAATCTGAGCTAAACAGAATAGGTGGCCTGTGTGCTATCAGTAAATATTGTAGCATTGTTTACTGGACACGGGACTCTGCATGTAAGGCCTGCTTAGGCCAAACCAGGAGGAATTGTTTCTGTGCTGAAAGCCAACAATAACATCCTGACAGTGGGGGGACAGAAGTCACCTCAAGGCAGCAGCTTTTGGGAGCTCAGGACATGAACTTTGCAGTATCAAGTTTATTAAAAAAGAAGGCAGCCGGGCGTTGTGGTGCATGACTGAAATCTCAGCACTTGGGAGGCTGAGGCAGGAGGATTCCTGTGAGTTTGAGGCCAGTCTGGGCTACATAGTGAATTCAAGTCCAGTCTGGACTACCTAGCCAGACCCTGTCTGAAAAAAACAACAACAAAAAGGCAAGATGTACTTGGAAAGAAGTGTGTGAAACCTGTAAGTCTTTATCTTATTTGGCCATAGTTTATCTGTGAAAAGTGAAAAATGATCTTTACAGTTGGATATGTGATGAACTCCTGTCACTTCCTGGTCATTCAGTTTTTCTGTCCTGCCTATACATAGATGTACGTCTTCATGTTCATCATTTTTTGCAGTAGTAGGAATTGAACCCTGGGCCTTATACATTACATGCCAGGCAAGCACTCTACCACTAAACTATATCCCCATCCCTTTTTAAACAATTTTATTTTGAGACAGGGTCTGAGTTATCTGGCTTTGAACTTGCTGTCCTACTGCCTCAGTCTCCTGAGTAACTGGGTTGTTTGTTATTTTTATTAGAAACATGACATACTCAGCTAGGCCCTGTGGACAAATGTGTTTTATTATTCAAGTGCTGTGTGCTGTAACCAGTATCAGAGGAGCCCACTAGAGGGCTGGATTGACAAGATAACTTGTTCACTGAAACACAGATACCATCTATAGAGTTTTGCCAGGACCTCCTGACTTACTTGAGTTCTCTTCCCTGGATCTTCATGCACCCACTTCTGTCCTTTCCATCATTCCTTATTTTGGTGTCAACCACTCACTCCACAGAGGCCACAGAGCCTTTTTTGGGGGGACACATTCTGGGTTTGTACTGCTGTCTTCTCTGGGACTCTGCTCTGGTCTGGCTCAGCTGGTTGGGGGCTCAGGGATCTGAAAGCTTTACTTCCTGGCCTTTATTCCCTGTCTGTTTCCATACACTGTGATTTTGCTGCATCTCTTTCCTGATGATGTAAGTACAGCGCTGCATCTGGAAGGCTCTGAACTTCGGCGCATCCCTGAGGCGCTTCACCTCATCCTTTCCTACGAATGGGGGGGGGTTGGACCAGGGGGTCTGTGAGAGGTGGTATTGAGTCTCCAATTCAGCCTCTTTGCTGTTTAAACAGGTTTTTTTTGTTTTGTTTTGTTTGTTTTTTTCTACTGGGGATCAAACTCGGGTCGTTGTGCTTGCAAGGCAGGCATTGGAACCACTGAGCTAAATCCCCTGCCCTGTTTAAACAGTTTGGATTGTGTGTGTAAGGAAGGGTCTCTTCCCAAGTCTCTGAAGTAGATCATTGCTGTTACCCTTCCTCCCTTTATTTTTCAACTGAAAATTTAGTGAAGAGAGGTTCACATTGCCCATGGTCACATAGGAAGTTGGTCTTATGAAGCACAGTGATGCTCAACAACTAGGCCACACGCCTGAGAGGTTTGGCAGGACACTATTAGGGAAGGCAGGTTAGGGAGAGAGGAGAGAAGGGGGGGGTGAGAGACGGGGAG